TAAGCATATACATGTATGTATTTTATCTTAAATTGCTATTTCTTAGTTTTAGCTTATTTTATAACGTATCCTGGTAGAGTTTCAAGGATTACAGATGTCATAGCAGACTTGCAGGTTAAATATATTAAAAAGCATATAACAATTAGACAAAAGCTAGTACCGTATTTGCCGGCGTATAAGACGACCCTCTAATTTTCCACTTAAAACATAGGTTTTGGGCTATACTCGTCATATAAGACTACCCCCCTTGTGCGGTAATACTGTATGTACAGTAGCTTCAGCTACATACAGTATACCGCGCTGAGCCGAGCCAATCATGGCGAGAAATCTGTTCTATTAATGAAATACAAAGCTTGCTTGGATTGGCAGAGGTTGTGTACATCGCTTGCCGTGATTGGCTCAGCTACTGTATGTAGCCAAAGTTACCGTACATACAGTATTAACGCACATCCAGCGGGCTAACAGATTAGGGATGTTCGTTTTGGGCCAGCTTGGCCTAAACGAGCGAAAGGTATACATTGTATATAAGCATATACATGTATGTATTTTATCTTAAATTGCTATTTCTTAGTTTTAGCTTATTTTATAACGTATCCTGGTAGAGTTTCAAGGATTACAGATGTCATAGCAGACTTGCAGGTTAAATATATTAAAAAGCATATAACAATTAGACAAAAGCTAGTACCGTATTTGCCGGCGTATAAGACGACCCTCTAATTTTCCACTTAAAACATAGGTTTTGGGCTATACTCGTCATATAAGACTACCCCCCTTGTGCGGTAATACTGTATGTACAGTAGCTTCAGCTACATACAGTATACCGCGCTGAGCCGAGCCAATCATGGCGAGAAATCTGTTCTATTAATGAAATACAAAGCTTGCTTGGATTGGCAGAGGTTGTGTACATCGCTTGCCGTGATTGGCTCAGCTACTGTATGTAGCCAAAGTTACCGTACATACAGTATTAACGCACATCCAGCGGGCTAACAGATTAGGGATGTTCGTTTTGGGCCAGCTTGGCCTAAACGAGCGAAAGGTATACATTGTATACCCCGCGTATAAGACGACCCCCGATTTTCGGGGGATGTTTTGAAGTATAAAAAGTAGTCTTATACACCAGCAAATACAGTACTTGTGTAATAATATAGCTCTAGATGTGTCTTTATCAAGAGCCCTTTCTCAATAATTAACATTGTTAAAGTATTTTAATTATTTTGCAAATTTTTTATATATATCAATTCATTTGTTTTTAAAATTTTATGTTGAAAAAGCTTCATTTACAGACTATATTAGGCTTCTATTTGACAGCAGTTTTTTGTCGCCACTTGCATTCAGGGTCAGGTTTGAGTCTGCTGGGGCTGCCAACATCATATCCATGAAGGTAGCACCCAGCAGCAGCCTCAGGGTTTTTGGATGTCTACAAGAGGGAAGCTTTTTATAGGCATATAACGTGCATAAAAATGTTCAATTCATATATAATCTCATGAGAAGATTTTTGTTAAAAAGTATGGTCTGATGACCTGGGTCTCTTTAATGATATACCCTATTAGTAACTGGCTCATGGATTTGGCTTGGTCACCACTGCTCAGCATTGAAATTGATATATACAAAAGATTTATTAAGTTTTAAAATATATCTTAATATCTACATATTCCGTTACTACAGCTGCCATCAAAGCCTACAGTTTAGTTTTGCTGTCAAATGCATAGAACATTTTCGTGATTTGCAATATTTCAACTATTTTCATCAAAAAACTCTAAATTTTATAGAGCAGTAAATTATGATGTTGGAAAGAACTCCAGATTCATCCAAAAATGCAAGACTGCAGTAAATACCCTTGGCAAACCTTACAACCAGAAAAGTAACTTGTCCTATGGATCATGGCACCGCTCTAAACTGTGACCAACACTCTCCTCCTGGCCTAATCAGTGGTGGTAGTTGCAGCAGAGACATTCCCCACCCCTTTGTGATATGTGACTACGGGGAATGCACTTGTTCCAGCTGATTGGGCAGGGAAGGGGGTGTGTGGAGGTCATGGTTTTTAATGTGCTTGGACAAACTAAGGTCAAGTGGGTTCTCACCAAACACAGGCTCATATCTATTAGAGGGCATGAAGGAGGCAAGTAAAAGTATATTCCTTCCTCCGTAGCCTTTTTACTGGTGCTGCAGATCAATCATAGATTTGCTTTATGCACAGTACCATCTAGTAGCTGAAGTGGACATAAACATCTGTAGAGTACCAAGGGATGTATGGTTTCATCTGCTTTTGTATGAAACACATTTCTGCAGTATTGTATAGAGGACAAGGGAGAGCTATGCAGGAAAGCTCTACACATGATTTTTTTTTTTCTACATCTCAGATACTGTCAGAGCCTTGTGGATCCCCAAAACAGTCTTTTCTAACCGTGTTTATAAGATTTTTTTTTTTAAAACAACTAGAGGTGCACCGAAATGGAGATTTTAAAACCGAAACCAAACCGAATTAAAAAAAATTGTCAGGCCAAAACCGAAATCGTCTCTGAGTGATCCTGTTCATAACATGAGGATATGGTATGTTTACTATAACTACAACTATGAATGAACATGAGATGATGTAGATCACTTCCCATTCATTCATAATTGAATCACTAATCTCTGAGTGTTTGTACCGCTCTCCTCTCTGACACGTTGTCACAGTCGGCTAAGCGTTGTAGGGAGGAGAGCTCAGCCTCCTGTGACAGCGCGGCCTGTCTCCGCCCACACACCGCCCTGCCAGATTGTGATAGGCGGCTAAGCGGTGTGGGAGGAGAGACACCGGCCGATCACATTGCTCTCCTCCCGCAGCGCTCTTCCGGCTATCGCAGTTTCTCTCCTCCCCGCTGGGACACAGAGCAGCGCCCAGCAGGGGAGGAAAGAAAGCAGGGATGCGCCGATGTATCGACAGGAAAATGGCACTTTCGGCATTATGCCAAAAGTGCCATTTTCGGCCGATATGTTTCGGAGGCCAATATATCAGTGCATTCCTAAAAACAAACTAAAGACTAGACCTTGTTTGTCTGTAATACAGCGGAGATGCATATATTTCAGAATGCACATTGCATAAACCTGCAATGTTAGTATATAATAGGGTCAAGATCCTTTTATAAGCTGGAATCACTGGTGTATAAGGAGAAAGTTGTATGCCAGGAAGTGGTCAAATTAAATAGTTTGGTGAGTTTATATATCCACTTCTAGACGGGTAGATTTTCATTGATCAAGTGTGTCCATTCTGAATAAGCCTGCTTCAATTTAAATAGGATGAGCTTACAAATGACGGGATCATTATTTATTTGAAGGTGAAGTGGGGTTTTGTTAAAGGGCCAGTTTATATATAAAAATAAATCTGTGGAGCAAAACAAACTGTACTGAGAGGGCATATTTATGAATGTTGATATACCAGTTGTCATAATTTTTATGTGTAAATATTTCTGTTTTCATCTGCATTTAGAGAAGTGCAGCAGTTTAAGGAGTCGGTTCGCAACTCGGCAGAAGTTAAATTTGCTGTACAGGTCTTTGCTGCATTCAATAGCACAAACTACGTTCATTTCTTCAAACTGGTCCGCTCTGCATCATACCTTAACAGCTGCATATTGCATGGATACTTTAGCCAGGTATGGCTTGGACTCGGATTGTGTTATGATGATAATGTTATTGGCTAAATATGTAGTCTGGTAACTTGTTTGGGTAGATTTCACTTGTTTCTTAGCCTGGGGCAGTTGCTACTGGGGCAGGAAGTGAAAGAAAATCTCCTCAAAGGGGACACAGACTGAAAAAAGTAGAAAGAAATGAACTTTGAAGTTAAAAATGTATTCATAAAACAGATAAGAAATCACAAACATGGCAGTTGCAATAAGAAATCACAAACATGGCAGTTGCAATAAATGTAGATGTCTGGTCAGCCATGATTTCTTTATTTTAACAGATTAAGTTACAAATCAGGTTTAAGACTTTCATGTGTAGAACAAGCTTTGATGTTTGTTATATTGTGTTCTTGAGGTTATTACAGTAGGAAAGCAAGTTGGTTGCTAACAATTGAGCACACAGAGCAGCCAATTCTCAGCTTATTGATTTGTATTATTGCATATTACATTTGTCTTTTAAAGGGTTGACACGTTAAAATGTCATATGAACATGCATGCGAAAGCTCTCTTTAGAATTTTCGTTAATGTCATCAGTGACTTGACGATTTGTAGTTCTTAATTTCAATTGGTTATAACATTTAATTTTAGAATGAATGGAGTTACCTGAACGAAAACCACGTTCACAGTTAGAATTTTGCTCGTCCGAGAAAAAGTTCCCTGCTCCAGCATTTATTTTTTAATTACTGCAATTGAAAACCGATGTTGATTTGACCTTTTTGACGATTAGAGAATCGAACGAACATTCTTACTGTGTATACCCAGTTTTACAACCAACTTTCCACTTTTACATATCTTTCAGTGGCTTGAATCGCCTGTGTGCTGCTTATTCTACTGCTAGACTTCAAGCCACACTGTTTGTAACACTGAGGAGACTCAAGTAAAAAAATCCAAATCTTTATGCTGGAGAAATGAACTAGGGATAGTTTAAGCTGCACCCATCTAGAGTTGAAATCTCTATTTTGAGTAGAGATATCCGGGTCTGGTTAGTCTACCTAAAAGTGTTATTTCAGATATAGATGGAGTCTAGTGAGCTCAAGCACCTACTGGCTTCCTATATCTTTGAGTAACAAAAAGTAAGTGCAAATATCCAGCAGGTAATGTGTGCACATTTCTTGTCACAGGAAACTGCAGGGGGTCAAAGAAATTGTTATTCAATTGACCTCTTCAGCTTGAAACCAAAACTGAATTATTAGACTTGGAGTGATGGGCCCTCTAAAGTCCTAATTGTTATGTTTTCTTTCTAACAGATACGTCGAAGTGCTCTGCAGGTCCTGAATGTTGCTTATACTTTTAGTCCCCAGAGGCCCTCTTTATTTCCATTAGAAGAGATTATGCGGCTTCTGTTATTCCAAGATGCAGATCAGGCTGCAGAATTCCTCACCGCTTATGGCTTAAGTGTGTCAGAAGGGTAAGTAGATTAAATATACAAAATGTTTGATATTTAATATTTGTTTGTGTGATTTGTGACATTGCATTTCAGTAGAAAATGTTGGCTGCCTAAAGGCAACGCACATGTAACAATGCTAACCAATAGACTTTGAAATGTATTCATAGTAATTTAGCAAAGGCAAACGTATTCGGTTACCTCAGTGTTGTATAATGATTGATCATATACATCCTACAGTCTGACCTTACACTCTTTGTACAACCAACTTTAGCGTTAACAAAACTATGTAATTCTCTCTGGAATTCTTTAGCCCCAACCTGTCTGTCTGTCGCCCACCTTGACTGCCTTTAGGCATACCCTAAAGACTAATCTCTTCAGGGAAGCCTACTCCACCTCAACCTAACCTCTCAACCATCACGTTCTCAAACAATTCATCCCCACACAGCTCCCTCCTCATGTATCACTTCTCCCTCCCCTTTAGATTGTAAGCCCTCACGGGCAGGGCCCTCCTTGCCATCTTGTCTTGATTTGTATTGTGATTGTAATGTCTTCCTTATATTGTAAAGCGCTGCACAAACTGTTGGCGCTATATATATCCTGTATAATAATAATAATGTAATACAAGTACCTACCTAATCTAACCAATCAATCTATATACAATCTGACAAGCACTTGCAATACATAGTTGTTAGATGCAGTATGCTATTGTATAGTCAGATTTTAATGTGTGGGGGTGTTAACAGCTATCATATCTGACAACTAAACCCAGGTTTACCAAGCATGGGGGATTTGGATAGATTACTTAATTTCAACACGTTTTGACCAAAACTTCATGAGGGGAATTCATCAAAACTGGAGCAGACACAATCTGTTGCAGATGTGCATGGCAACCAATCAGCTTCTCTCTTTCATTCTTAAATCTTAAAGGGTTCTAAACCCTCCGGTTTTTTTTGCTTATATCTACTGCTAGCATGCAGTAGATATAGGCAAGACGTGTAAAAAAAAAACGCTTAAAGTCCTTTTAAACTTACTTCGTTATCACTGCTCGTTCCCGTGCCGAGAATCAGGAACTGCTCGTACGGCCGCAATTGATCTTTGGGCGGGCGCATGTGCAGTTCCGATTCTCGGCCGGGAGACGAGCAGAGACGCAAGGTAAGTCTATGGACGCGTGCACCCGCCTTCAGACACCACTGGATCGGAGAGACAGAGCAGTCAGCGCTGGATCGGAGTGACGTCACACCGCTGGAGGGACAGATGAAAACATGGGGAAAGAAGAGGAAGATCGGAAAAAGAGACATCATTTAAGGTAAGTGCTAACATTTACATTGGGGGGAGGGAAATTTTTTTTTGCCTTTAATGTCACTTTAACTGAAGAGAGAAGCTGATTGGTAGCCATGGGCAACTGCTCTAGATTCTTTCTGCTCCAGTTTTGATAAATTCCCCCCATTGCTTTTATGGAGAAGTAACCTTTGATTGCTTTCCCAGTCGCTTCCAATCCCCTCTGCCTTACACTCTCTCCTCCCACACCCTCTTCCTTTTCTTTTTTGCTTTCCAACTATGTTTTAGAAAGTAAAAGTACTATTGCAATCATCCGAGTGGTATAATTTTTTATATGTTCATCTGTATCCTCTTTATCAGTAAATTGTTAATGAAATTCTCTATCAAATTATTAAAGCAAACATTTTGGCTAAACATAGAAAATCCCGAATAAAATCTCTACATATGATCTTTTTATTGTTTCCTTAAGTTTTGTAGAGCTAAACCGTTCTGCTTTTGCTGAACCCGAGGCTCCCTTACTGCCAAAGAAGAGCACATTCATCAGCAACAAATGTCATGTTTCTGTGGGTGAGGTGGTAAATGGAGCCGCACTACCAGCATTCTCCTTGCACACTCCTGTGTGCAGCTTTGACGCACAGAACAGATATGTGGGATTTTGCAACTCAACCGAAGTAGCAGTTAGGTCTGCACAAGAATCAACAGGTTGGTCACAAAAAAATTTGAAAAAATATACGCAATTTGCATCCAATTATTAGACCAGCGAAAGTTCTTTTTAAGGTAATTTTTTTTTTCTTTGAGGTTGGTGATTTAATTGACAGGTGAATTTGACCTGCAGTTGAGCTGCATTTGAACTGTGCTTTGTATTCCCATAGACTTTCATAGGAATGCAAACCCCGTCTGACACAACAAAAACCCTTCGTCAGGCTTCAATGCATCATAACAGTGTTTAAACGGAAGTTTGAAGAGAAACTTTACACACCCCTCTGTTTTTTTTCCATTCCCTTTTACTTGTTTGGCAGGGTTTCCTTTTCTTCACCTATCCGGCAGTGTCCTGCCGTCAATGGCTGCCGCAGGCCAAATCCTGTGCCTCCATCTTCCATGGCTATGTCATCAGAGCAGGCTGTCTCTTCCAGGTTCTTGCAGCCCCTCCCTGATGATGTGCCACCAGGTTTGCCCTGCAGTGCTGTGTCTGCTTCTGCAGCCTCTTGGGATATGTGATGGGGATATCCTAGGAGGCTCCAGGAGCAAGACATGTCATTCCCACCTATCAATGCAGAGAAGGTTGCAGGGAGGAAAATTCAATTATGGGAGTGAAGGTTCAATTTAATTGGTTTGTGTTTTGGCTTCCTTTTTTTCCTCCTTTCCCCCCCTCATCAATAGGCTAATGAAATTAACTAAAACCTTATGGTTTCATTACCTTATTTTAGAGCCAGTGACAACTGAAAACGGGAAGCTGCGATAATGCCCCCATGTGATGCTAACACCCTCATGACTGAAAAAAATTATATCCAATAAATTAATAGGGTTGGGTCAGGGAAAGTAAGGCTGGGGAGGAAAGAACTAGATAATGCCGAATGTCCTCCAGCCAGCAAATTAGGCAGGGCCTATCTAACATCCTGCTGCTTCTAATGCATACTCTGAGAAGCTTACAGTGTGCAGTGAAATCAGAGTAAGCAATATAATTACAGGAGAGGAGCCTGTACAACTATGCAAGACATAAGAGAAGGCTGGAGTTCAGCTTTAAATAAAAAAATGAATTTAGAAACTTTTTTTAATAACCCTATGCGTTTTATTTCAGCTGTTTCAGATAAACCAGAGGTTATAGACTCTGTCCCTGAAGAGAGGTCTATCAAACGTACAATTGTGTTTTTACAAGACAACCAGGAATCTTCGTCTATTCCTAGTCAGTCAGTGTTCCAGCCCATAGTGCCACCTGAAGCCCCTCCATCTCCACCCAAACCAACATTTACTGACGAGGTACTTGTGAGATGCAGATCTGGCCAATAACCAGCTTTCCTCCACTTTTCTTGTATAACAGTTTTACACTTTATTTGCTTATATAGGATGTTGCTGTTGTGCTTAATGATATTGTGGAAGACACGGTGAGAGAATTTAGTGTGGATATCGGCCAGATAGGAGCTGCCTACGTTTCTGCTGCTCTTGGGTAACAAAAAAAAACTTTGCATTTGAATGTCGGTATTACAAACACCAGTGAAATCGTGCTGATAGTAAATGTTTAATACTAACATGACTACACAGTGGAGAACCTTTGACATTTTATTGCAGTTTTGCAGTGCTTTGCATAGGACCCTAAACTTTTAAACAGTTCTGAATCGGAGTAGCTTACAATCTAATGTCACAACTATCATAGTCATGCAAAACACTTCAGTTGATTTGGCTATTTTTAGGAGGTTCAAGAAAACCAGAGCACCGAAGGAAACCCCTAGGCAAGTGCAGGGGGAACATACACCTGAAATGCAGCTAAGGTTTTTTAATAGCAATCATACCTGTGAACCAGTACAAGGCAAGAGTGTAAAGCAGAAAGTCACTTGGCTTCCTCTAGGTTTTGAAGCTTGCATGCATCTGTGAATGTTTATAGCTCTTTCATATTAATCAGCAAAGAATGTGAAGGTACAATGTACTTTTTACATGGCCACTAAATATAAATAAACTAGATGTTTTTTTAAATAAAGTTTTGATGACATTTGTGAAATTCAGAATTTGAAGATATTTCTTGTTATGAAGGATATTTTTATCGCCAAACTTTTTTTCTGTCCAACTACCTAAAAATTAAAAATTTCCTAAAATAGCTACTATATATTTAAATATCCTTTAAAATAGAACCATGGGGTAACCTTTTTATCTCATAGTTCTCTTTAGGGCCACGGGAGGACATATACCAACATCCTCCCGTGACCCAGAACTCGGTATATAGCAGGCTATTGCGCGCTATATGTTGAGATCGCCGCAACCGGGACAGATCCTGACAATACTGTCAAGATCCACCCCACTGGCTGATTCACAGCGTGTTCTGACTATCTAGAGGCAGAGCCAGCTATGCCTACCCCCCTCCCCTGTCCGTTCCTCCAGTCAGCGGTGGAGGATCAGAGAGGAGAGGGAGGAATCATTGCGGTGAGCGGTGACTGACAGTCACCACTCTCTGCAGAGAGATGATCAGGAAGTGAGCGAGGAGCGATATGTTTTTGCTCACTTCCCGATCAATAGAGTCGACATGACAGTTTCAATGTCACACGTCTCTAACTATGGGGATGAATGTAATTCACTCCATACTTCTCCTTATAAGGATGATCAGTTTTTACCCATTAAAGTAGACCTTTACCCCCTTTCACTAAAAATCACATTACTTTTTCCATACCATTATCCATTTGCCTTGCTGAAGAATTTATTTTCCATGTTTCTGCTGTTACAGAGAGTCTTCATTGGTCGCTGACAAACTTCTTGCACTTATGGTCTTGGATATGTCAAACACCATTGCAAAAGAAGAATTGAAAGCAGAGACCGAGAAAGTGCTAGCGGAAAAACGGAGAAAGGCAGAGGAAGCCAGGCAAGTCTTCTAATAAAATAAAGAACTAGAAAAGGAGAGTATACTATTTTGTTCTAACTTGTATATGCTTGTATTGCTTCTATTTCCTCCCTGGAGCTTGCGTTTCAGGGAGTTTTGAGGGAATGCTTTAAGACTCTTCTTGCTTCTTTTTTTATGAGAGGAGGAGAGTATGTAGAGCTGGGCAAAGTTAACAAAAGGCAAAGAATCCATTAGGAGAGGGAGTCTATAATTAGAGATTTTATTCTCCTATTCCCAATATATTCTAACTGATGATCCATAAGTGGGGAGGATCAAGATAATAAGATAAAGGATAATGTATTTGGTCACAAGCAGATGGTGGATGTCTTTGCAGCCTCTGGCTGTCAAACACGTAGCCGACATTCTTTTCCAAAATTGTTAAAAAGACATCAAGTTCTCATGGTTTTACAACTGGCAGGTCCAGTCCTTGGATATTCAGAATATTCTGACCCTTAATATGCTACTCCAAGCAAGCTACTTTTCTGTTAACGTGCCTTCTACTCCAGGGTTTTTTTTTTTTTTTAATGCTTTGTAAGACACTACTGTCTGGATGTAAATTTTGATGAGGCAGCATGGTGGCACAGATTTTGAGAAAAGTGAGGTAAGATGAAAAATGTCATGAAGGTGAATCTAGCTATTGCAGTTGCACATCCTTATGTGTCTTCAATCTGCTTTATCAAATAAAATGCTTATTTCTAATGTTTTATTTTTGCTATTTTTTTAACAGGCAAATTCAGGAAAGGGAGCAGTGGCTTTCTGAGATCAGCCAGTCTGAGTGTAACAATCTGTTAAATATAGTACTTCAGGAAAACATCCAGAAAATATCACATGAAGAGCTACAGTGAGTATTTGTGTTTTTTTTTTTTTTTTTTAATTTTAGGATCTAAAGTCTGTTTCTTTATCATCCATTGAAGGACACACAAATTGTTAGACTTGTTAGACTCTCAGGTTAAACTGCTGCCGACAGGAGAAATGGACACTGGCAACAAAAGTAATTAGCCAGCACAATATAATCCTATGCTCAACCATCATGCCTCACTTTTTGCTAGTGTCCTCATGCAGCTCTTAGAGCTGTAGGCAGCCTTCAGTTTTCTGCTATATTTTTTTACGCCCAGTAGCCTTACTTGCTATGTTGCCCACACTTCTGTTGGACTGCTGCTTTTGGACGGCCCAACAGTCTAAAGCTGGTGGTACTTGTGAGATGCAGATCTGGCCAATAACCAGCTTTCCTCCACTTTTCTTGTATAACAGTTTTACACTTTATTTGCTTATATAGGATGTTGCTGTTGTGCTTAATGATATTGTGGAAGACACGGTGAGAGAATTTAGTGTGGATATCGGCCAGATAGGAGCTGCCTACGTTTCTGCTGCTCTTGGGTAACAAAAAAAAACTTTGCATTTGAATGTCGGTATTACAAACACCAGTGAAATCGTGCTGATAGTAAATGTTTAATACTAACATGACTACACAGTGGAGAACCTTTGACATTTTATTGCAGTTTTGCAGTGCTTTGCATAGGACCCTAAACTTTTAAACAGTTCTGAATCGGAGTAGCTTACAATCTAATGTCACAACTATCATAGTCATGCAAAACACTTCAGTTGATTTGGCTATTTTTAGGAGGTTCAAGAAAACCAGAGCACCGAAGGAAACCCCTAGGCAAGTGCAGGGGGAACATACACCTGAAATGCAGCTAAGGTTTTTTAATAGCAATCATACCTGTGAACCAGTACAAGGCAAGAGTGTAAAGCAGAAAGTCACTTGGCTTCCTCTAGGTTTTGAAGCTTGCATGCATCTGTGAATGTTTATAGCTCTTTCATATTAATCAGCAAAGAATGTGAAGGTACAATGTACTTTTTACATGGCCACTAAATATAAATAAACTAGATGTTTTTTTAAATAAAGTTTTGATGACATTTGTGAAATTCAGAATTTGAAGATATTTCTTGTTATGAAGGATATTTTTATCGCCAAACTTTTTTTCTGTCCAACTACCTAAAAATTAAAAATTTCCTAAAATAGCTACTATATATTTAAATATCCTTTAAAATAGAACCATGGGGTAACCTTTTTATCTCATAGTTCTCTTTAGGGCCACGGGAGGACATATACCAACATCCTCCCGTGACCCAGAACTCGGTATATAGCAGGCTATTGCGCGCTATATGTTGAGATCGCCGCAACCGGGACAGATCCTGACAATACTGTCAAGATCCACCCCACTGGCTGATTCACAGCGTGTTCTGACTATCTAGAGGCAGAGCCAGCTATGCCTACCCCCCTCCCCTGTCCGTTCCTCCAGTCAGCGGTGGAGGATCAGAGAGGAGAGGGAGGAATCATTGCGGTGAGCGGTGACTGACAGTCACCACTCTCTGCAGAGAGATGATCAGGAAGTGAGCGAGGAGCGATATGTTTTTGCTCACTTCCCGATCAATAGAGTCGACATGACAGTTTCAATGTCACACGTCTCTAACTATGGGGATGAATGTAATTCACTCCATACTTCTCCTTATAAGGATGATCAGTTTTTACCCATTAAAGTAGACCTTTACCCCCTTTCACTAAAAATCACATTACTTTTTCCATACCATTATCCATTTGCCTTGCTGAAGAATTTATTTTCCATGTTTCTGCTGTTACAGAGAGTCTTCATTGGTCGCTGACAAACTTCTTGCACTTATGGTCTTGGATATGTCAAACACCATTGCAAAAGAAGAATTGAAAGCAGAGACCGAGAAAGTGCTAGCGGAAAAACGGAGAAAGGCAGAGGAAGCCAGGCAAGTCTTCTAATAAAATAAAGAACTAGAAAAGGAGAGTATACTATTTTGTTCTAACTTGTATATGCTTGTATTGCTTCTATTTCCTCCCTGGAGCTTGCGTTTCAGGGAGTTTTGAGGGAATGCTTTAAGACTCTTCTTGCTTCTTTTTTTATGAGAGGAGGAGAGTATGTAGAGCTGGGCAAAGTTAACAAAAGGCAAAGAATCCATTAGGAGAGGGAGTCTATAATTAGAGATTTTATTCTCCTATTCCCAATATATTCTAACTGATGATCCATAAGTGGGGAGGATCAAGATAATAAGATAAAGGATAATGTATTTGGTCACAAGCAGATGGTGGATGTCTTTGCAGCCTCTGGCTGTCAAACACGTAGCCGACATTCTTTTCCAAAATTGTTAAAAAGACATCAAGTTCTCATGGTTTTACAACTGGCAGGTCCAGTCCTTGGATATTCAGAATATTCTGAACCTTAATATGCTACTCCAAGCAAGCTACTTTTCTGTTAACGTGCCTTCTACTCCAGGGTTTTTTTTTTTTTTTAATGCTTTGTAAGAAACTACTGTTTGGATTTAA